GCTCGACTGAGCCGCTCGGCCATGATCGGGAGCTGTACGAGCTATCTGGCCGTAGCTTCGGATCGGCCGAAGCTACGGCCAGATCCTTCGGCAGCTTCGTGAATAGACCCCTTAGTGTTTGTTAATGGAGCTGGCTCCTACAGAAAAATCCTGCTGGCCCTTGGGTTGGAGAGACTGGCTCCTGAATGTTATATTAATTTGCCCACCCCTGTCTTAAGGTGAGATCTCTACACTAGAGTTGCTGGATCTGTATCCTTGCTTTGGCCATACTGAGACAGTAACACTCTTGCTGATGGGTCTTCACATTATCTATATATTAAGAGAAATGCAACAAGAGTTGCTAGAACACACATAGTTGGATGGGAACTCCCAAAACTCAAGACTGGAACAGAAGTGGTAAATATGGCAGGGACAGCTTCCTGTTGCAGTATCCAAAATATGGAGTATTAGACGTCAGGGACTGGCCCACCCATAACTAAAATATAGTATTTGGGTAGAGTGGCCCTTTAATGCTATAAACTTGTTTTATGGTTACAATGAACCAAAATATGTCTAAACTCACCCGAAGAGTCCAGCATGGCGCTGCTGGCACGCATTCTTCACCTGAGCATCAAAATTTGTTTTGTAGTTCAGGCACGCTTCCGCCGTGTAACACTGCAAAGTAACACAACAGATGTTCAGTGCTAGTGTTCTTGTGACATAAGGATAGTATGTCGACTACTCAATGTCCAAACAAAAGGAGAGACAAAAAAACAAATCGCTCTTCATGCAATACAAAAACACCTTTATTGACATATGTACAGCATGTCCATTAACAGAATTGTAAAGTTTCAGACCCACCAGAGGTCCCTTCATCAGGCAAAATGATACGTCACTCATGTCATTTTGCTTGATGAAGGGACCCCTGGTGGTTCAGAAACATTGTATTTCTCCTATATGACATGCTGAAGTGAATATACATTATTACAGGTAGTTTTTATTGCATGAAGACTAAGGTGTGCTGGCAACATATTTTCTTCTGCTGTGGTGTCATCCACGGTTTGCTTCATCACCCCACCTCTGAGTGTATTCTGATCTGGCGTACTATTAAGGTATATATATATGATTTAACAAAAGAAGAGATATCTAAATAAATGATTGTTCATTCCTCATTGCTTTTGAGTATGGAACAGGAATATATACTGTATTTCCTGGCTGGTTCTCATTTAGAGGGACTGTCCTTCTATTGGAACCAAATCCCCCTGTCCATGGTTCCGCTATAAATGTTGCTTCATTAGATCTGGTGTAATTATCCATATGAATAAATGTTCTCCTTAAAGTGCAACTCACACCAAAACTTTATTTTTTAGCTTTGGATAGAGTGGAGAGTGATTAGAACCCCTGCTTTGGATAGAGCTTTGGATAGAGTGGATAGGGATTAGAACCCCTGTCAGGTTATAATTGCTGGCTGTGTGCCCTCTATGGAGATTCACCCTCTCTATTTGTCCAGATGATCATTTTTACTGAAAGTGAAAGAAAATCCCAAATTCTGGGTGGTCATCAGCCTAGGAATAGATGGGACATCTTCCAATGGGGAAACTAGTTCTGGTGACTCTACTGACCACCAAAGATTTCACTCTCTTTGGAGGGATTTCCTCTCATGTGTTGTGTCTGTTGGACAGGGGGTGAAGGGAAATCTCCCCAATGAGACAGATGACAGAGGTTATAACCCTCCCTTACTCTATCCAAAAAAAAAAGTTTTGGCTTAGGTTCTACTATAACGACCAAAGTTTGTTTCTAGTGTAAAATGTTTAATCCACGCTTTAGATGACGGCATCAATTACTTTTAGACACTAATATAAAAGAAAGGTAGTTGTGAAAAAAGCCCCATTGAAATTAAAGTGGAAGTTCACCTTATAATTAATCTATGAACATTAAACAGCCATCTAACACACCTTGCTAAACACACCTTGATAAAAATGTAGGACCTAGCGTTTGACTTCTGTCCACGCTTTGCTTCTCCAGCAATCAGCATTGGAAACTGCCAATCATTTACCAGTGATACTATGTAACTCATATTGGTTTGTTTGCTGAGCAACATTATGTGGGGAATTTATCAAAAGTGAAGCAGACAGAATCTGGAGCAGTTGCCCACAGCAACCAATCAGCTTCTCTCTTCAGTTTGTTCAGCTGAGATTTGAAAATGAAAGAGAGAAGATGATTGGTTGCCTTGCACAGCTGCTCCAGATGTTCTCGGCTCCAGTTTTGATAAATTCCCTTCTATGAGTTTTATGGTGTTGCTGGTAAATGGCCAGCTGATTACTGGACAACCAAAGCTTAGATTGAAGTCAAAGCTAATGCTATGCATTTATCAAGGTACATATAGCTGTTTAACTTTCATAGATTCAATTCTAGAGTGGACATCCACTTTAGGTGATCAATGGTCCATGTGATCGGGGATCTGGTGGGAGTGTGGCCATTGCCAAATATTCTGTGCTAAGCGTATGCTTCTTTCCCACATATCAGACGGTTGGAGATATGTGGATGTGATGATTTCCTGAGAACACCACTTGGCCAAATAAACACTAAGTATGAACACAAAGCACACCCTGCCCAATGGAAATACACATAGCTCTGCACGTACTTCTGTAACAGCAATACTAGTGAGAAGTTCACCATAACAAGTCTACTTACAGCATTCATACAACTCTACAGGAGGGATTCCTGGTCACATTCTATTTCAAGGCATACAGGTAATCAGCATTCTACGATCTATACACCCTTCATACTGCCAACTCTAAGAGAAGAGAAAAGGATAACCATCCTAGGAGGTAACAAAGGAGCACTATGCCATATCATAGCACACAGCCATCACTGGGCATAACAATCCCAGGAGCGATCATGAAGTAGAGAGCAGGGTGATAGCTGCAGATACAGGTAGACTTGCCTTGGGCATGTGTGAGATGAGTCTATCTCTGGGGACAGGCGATGATGGCTGGCTCAGCATGGTGCAGCTCTCCCGGTATTACAGAACGCTGGCGGAAGGTGCACAACTACTTGGTCTAGCGGCACAGAAGCGTTGCTTGCTTTGCCTGGGCACTCTACGGTTACCATGGAAACGGCTAGAAAGCCATGGGCGTGGTTTCTCCCGGCTTCAGAGGACCTGGCGAGGGTGACTCAAAGTAGGTCTCTGTGGGCGGTGCTAACATATCCAGCTTCCATGTGGTGGATGTGGACCGAATGCAAGAGGAGGGCTTATGTCTCCATAATATAAATTACAATGTTTATTGGTTAAAGGGGTAGAAGGCAGACTTATCTGCAAATTTAAGGTCATGCGGCGCATGCAATTAGCCGAAGTACTTCTGTTTGTCGAAGCACGGCGGCAGCACGAAACGCCTTTACGCAAGTTGCGTATTTGTTCTTCTTTACAGCCACGACGTCAGCGTAGAGTGTTATTCCGGACTACGTTCTGTGCGCCCATGTGTAGTTGGTTGCCTGGCGACCAGGGTACGCTCAGTGTGGCACTAGGTTAGCTGTGAGGACGAGCAGCTGCTGCGAACTGGAATAGGGCGACGGCTGGTGTTCGGTGAGCATGTTGACCCCCTGCTGTTCTTCCCAGCTCCATTTCTACCACTCTCGGGGAATTTATCATTGTACCTGATCAAACATAAACATGGCACCAAATCCTAATTGTTTGGGCCATATTCCCCTGCTCTGTGGCATTCCGCCTGTGCCATCAATGATACACACGCCCCCCCCCCGCATAAGGGTTGTTCTTTCCAGCATCCAAAGTGGTACTCAAGTCACACCTTTCTGTTATAGTGAGGTTGCATCTGACATAAACTCTAGTCCTCCTCCCTATTAATAAAGAAAAAAAGTTTTGCTTGCTTCTTCCTTTTAAAGAAGAACTCAAAAAATATTATGAACCCTTGCAGTGGGGCTACCCCTGCTCTGCAAGAGTCAACTGCTTGTTTTGGTCTAGGGAGGAAAATACAAAAGTTATGCTCACTTTAAGCTCCAAACCGGCTTGCTCTTAGACCGGCCCCTGGAGCCTCTCTCCCCCTCTAAGGTCCCTGAGTCATCACATTCTATAGGATGTGAGGACACCGACGGACACATCATCACTGCAGAGGAGGAGGAGACAGGCAGGGAGCACTATCACAACCAGCCGGAAAAAACGATCGGGTAAGTATAACTTTTTTATGTTTGTACCTAGACAAAAACAAGCAAATACCCTTTGCAGTTTGGGGGTAGCCACACGGCAAGGGTTAATAAAAGTTATTTAACAATTCTTTAAAGAATTGTGACTCCTGTCTGTTAAAGCAGAAGCAAAGTCAGTAAAATAAAAAATGCTTGGAGGTAGAGATTTTTGGCAGAGACGTGCAAATTCTCCTCTGCCCAATGAACGTCTTCCTCTCAGTTTATAATTTTCTGTATTAGACTGCATGGCACATTCACAGCATCTCTACGCAGGAGTTATCTCATCAGTGGCCATCCCAGTGCTGTGCATACAACTCCAATTCCAAAAAAGTCTGGACGCTGTGTAAAATCTACATAAAATCAGAATGCAGTGATCTGCAAATCTCATAAACTCATATTTTATTCACAAAAGGAAATAGAAAACATATCAAATGTTTAAACTGAGAAAATGGACCATTTTAAGAAAAAAATAAGGTCATTTTGAAATTGATGGCAGCAACATGTCTCAAAAAAAGTTGTTTACCACGGGGGAGCATCCCCTCTTATTTTAACAGCACTCTGTAAATGTCTGGGAACTGAGGAGACCAGTTGCTGGAGTTTTGGGAGAGGAATGATGTCCCATTCTTGCCTAATATAGGATTCGAACTGCTTAACAGTCCTGGTTCTTTGTCGTATTTCTTGTTTCAAGATGAGCCAAATATTTTCAATTGGTGAAGGGTCCGGACTGCAAAGGGGCCAGTTAAGCACCCGGACTCTTCTACTATGAAGCCATGCTGTTGTCATAGATGCAGTTGCCAAAAAGAATATCAAATTTCTATTCGTCTGACCACAGAACAGTTTTACACTTTGCAACAGACCATTTTAAATGAGCTTTGGCCCAGAGAAGATGGCGGCGTTTCTGGATCATGTTCAGATTTGGGTTCTTCTTTGCATTATGGAGCTTTAACTTGCCTTTTTGGATGGCACAGCAACCTGTGTTCACAGACAGTGATTTTTGGAAGTATTCCTGAGCCTATGCAGTGATGTCCACCACAGATTCATGTCTGTTTTTAATGCAGTGCCATCTGAGGGCCCGAAGATCACGGGCATTCAATATTGCGTTTTGGCCTTGTCCCTTGTACACAGAGATTTCTCCATAGATCTTTCTTATGTATTGTAGGTGATGACATATTTAAAGTCTTTGCAATTTTACATTGAGGAACATTATTCAGAAATTGTTTGACAATTTTTAGATGCAGCTTTTCACAGATTGGTGAACCTCTGCCCATCTTTACCTCTGAGACACACAGACTCTCTAAAGGTGCCCATATACCTGACGATTATCGTACGATAATCGCGGGATCACCCATACAATAATCGGCAGGTGTATGGGCAGCTTGCGACCGCATTTACTGTACGGTCGAACGACTTTCGCCTTACGAGCACACTAGAAAACCCGCCGAAAATCATACGATTTTCAGCGGTTAAGTAGCGCGATCGCAAGACGAAAGCCGCACTGGCCGGTGTGCAAGCGCACACTGCCTGCTCAGCATTGCAATCATTGGCAAGCCCTCCCCTCAGCAGACTCGCAAGTATGATCTGCCTGTCCAAGATGGGCAGGCCATACAAAATTTTAATCACCTTACAACCATCGCACAACGAAAGTCGTGAAATGGTTGTAAGGTGTATGGGCAGCTTAAGATGCTCTTTTTATACCCAATCATGTTACTGACCTGCTGCAAATTAATCTAATTAGTTGCAAAATGTTCTCCCAGCTCTTCCTTGTTAGTACCACTTACTTGGCCAGCTATTTGTTGCCCTGTCCCAACTTTTTTTGAGACATGTTGCTGCCACCAATTTTAAAATGACCTTATTTTTTTCTTAAAATGGTTAATTTTCTCAGTTTAAACATTGTATATGTTTTATGTTCTCTATTGTGAATAAAATCTGGCTTTAATGAGAGTTGCAAATCATTGCATTCTGTTTTTATGTAGATTTTACACAGCATCCAGGCTTTTTGGGAATTTGGGTTATACTTATGTTTCAAAAGGCATTTAAAGCCAAAATTGGGACCAATTTCAGTGGGACTCAAGTAAAGCTGGCCATAAACCTTACAATTATTTTCAGATTTTCTATGGTCAGATGGAAAACGTTCAACAGATTCCTCCATCTACACTTAGCTTTGTGGATGGAGGAATCTCCCACTGGGCCAATCTTCAGTATCTTGCTAGTCGGCCCCGCTGGCTGTCAAAAGACCTAAAAATCTGATTGGATGCAGGCATTTTTCAGGTGTTATGGAGTTTCATTTAGGAGAGATGGGGAAGGACAAACTGCATTAAATCACCTCATACAGCGTCCAGCCGTCTTCACTTTAGGTAGATGCGGGAATATGAGAAGCTCTACCTAGAGCGAGGACGGCTGGACGCTGCATGATTTTAATGATGCATTTCTTTAATTTTTGCGAAAGGTGAACTTATCCTTTAGGTCAGTGGTTCTCAACCTTTCTAGGGCCGAGACCCCTTGGTAACATTTGCCTAATTGTGGTGACCCCCCAACGGTAAAATTTAGGGAGGACGTTGCTGCTGCAACGACATCTGGCGTCGTGGCGGGAGAACTGACACTGCTGCGCTAGGAGAGGGCTGAGGAGGACTCTCACCTAGCACAGCAGAAATCACACAGCGACCCACAGGTTGAGAACCACTGGCGTACGCTGTCAGAATAAAAAAAAACCAAACAAACACAAAAAAACACCATAGGAATGCACAGCTAGATTCCTATTGGCTATTTCACTTTGCAATAGCCAATAGCAAACTAGCTATTGCACCCGCCCTCTGCTGCCGTCGATCACTAGAAGAGGACCTGATGGAGAACTGCAGGTCCCCTTCTGCTGATTGGCGGCAGCAGAGGGAACGGCCCGGAAAGTGGAAAAACACTGTGCAGAAACCCATGCAGATCTGGTCTGCGTTTGGTGTGTTAGCAAGCCCTTAAACACCTTACCGGATTTTGATATCTAATGTTTCATCCCTGTGCTACAGAATCTCCCTAGTCAAGTCTATCGTACTCTATCCAGAAACCAATATCAAATGCTATATATGACACAGTAACTGACATTCCATTGTTGTTCTCCTCTTAGGACAAAGAAAAGTTCATAGCCATCCGGCATTTCCGTGTCTTTAAAATGGCTGAAGCTAGGATATCAGTTTATCTACCACCAAACATTGATCCCACAAAAGCCCCCATTGCCTTTGGTGAGAGGGCATTACCAAAATTAAATGAGGAACTGAAGAGCCCTGAGCTGATTACTCGACAGAAATCTCTCATGGCACTGTGTGATATTGTGCACGATCCAGAATATGTCTACCAGGCTGTGCATTTGGGTAAGACATATAGTCATGCTCTGTGATTCATAAAAAAGGATCATGTGATCAGCAACCTAACGAAATGATATATCGGTTTACAAATCCTGATTTTATTTCTGTGAGTCACTGCACTTTACTCATAACTTGTCTTATTTCACCCGCCTGCATGTTTTCATGTTGTATTAGCACTTTCCTGTCCCACAAGGTGTGCAGAACAGGCAATACACAGAGATGCTTCATTATTATGACTTCACGTCTGATTCTTACTAATGATACAACTCCAGACAGACAAAAACACCAATAAATGCAGCTGTACTGTATATTTATTTAAACAAAAATCACTAAAAGTATTTACATTTTTGTAAATTTTTGTATTAACCCTTGCAGTGGGGCTACCCTTGCACTGCAAAGGTTAAAGGAGAACTATGAGGTGAGTGCTTTTCACTCACCTCATAGTTCTAGCCGACCTGTGACAATGAGACTGTCACAGGTCGGCTCAGTAGATCGGGAGGTGAGCGAACACATACCGGCGTTCGCTCACCTCTCGATCCTGTCACGGCTCTCTGCCGTGACAGGGGAGGGGCTGGATTCCCCCCGCTCCAATCCTCCAGCGCTGACTGGTGGAACAGACAGGGAGGGGGCGGGTACAGCTGGCTCTGCCTCGATAGGCAGAGCCAGCTGTCAGTCACGCAGCTGGGCAGATCCCGGCATAATTGTCGGGATCCGCTTCAGCTGCTGCGTCTCAGTATACCGTGAGCAGAAGCTCGCGGTATACTGCGGCGCCTCAGTATACCACGAACTACAGCTGGCGGTCTACTGAGCCTAGGGTGACGGGAGGACGCTAGTTTGTGTCCTCCCGTTACCCTTAGGAGAACTATGGGGAAAAGCCTTAACCCCATAGTTCTCCTTTAACTGCTCATTTTTGCCTAGGGTCCAAAAAAAAGAAGTTATACTCACTCAAACCTCCGAGCAGGCAGCGCTCCCTCCAGCCAGTCTCGCCTGCCACTACAGCAATGGTATGTCTCTCGGCGTCCTCACGTACTATACACTGTATTTGGCATGATGACTCATGGATTCCTAGACCGCTGCAGAGGAGGGGGAGAGACGTTGTAGGGGCCGATGTCTAGGGATATGGTGTAAAGCACTTTTACTTACTTGATAGCTGCTTCCCCGGCAGATGGCACTCACCTCTTTCTGCCTCATCTTGTGGATTGTCCCTCGGTGTCTTCACGCATAATGCAGGGCTATGGGCCCTGCATTAGATCTGATGATGTCAGCGGGCCTCCAACCACCAAAGCAGAAGGGGGTAGAGGCTGTGGGCAGCAGTTCTGGAGCCAGCAGGGAGTGGTTGAAAAGGTCCCCTAGACAAAAGCGAGCAGTTAACCCTTGTAGCGCAGAGGTAGCTCACTACATATATACTTGATTTTAGGTTTTTGTAACCCCCTAGTAAGTAGTAATCAGACTGGGAAAGGGAAAGGGCAGCACCCTGAGCCAGTCAGGTGGGCTGTATTCAAATCTGCTGGCCAGAAACATGCTGACAGTAGAAGAGAGCACAGAGTTGACTTTGACAGTCTGTTATTGCTGCTTTGTTGTCCAGTCCCAGGCTAAGAGAGAAGACCTAACTGTTGCTTCAAGTGGAACTACACCCTCCTATCCTTTACATTTAGGAAGGTGCCATCTTAGCCTCTATTTGAAATGCTATGGTGGTGCACATGTGATCAGCTATGGCACCAGACATTTGAGGGAAGGAGAACACACACAAAAGCACTGCTCCTCCATGGCTTAAGGAAAGCATGAGGAGCACGTCCTCGCTGCAATATGAGCCCATACAAACAGAAGAAAAGCTGTCCGCACACCGGATTCTGCTGGAATAGTTTATTGAAGCTTGTACCACATCAGTGGTGTCCTGCCCAAGGTCCGCCCCCTCTTATGCATTTCACCCACTTACGCATTTCACCCAATCAAGGCTTAGATTATACTATGGCTACGACTCTACAACTAAGCCCATGATTGGCTGAAACGCATCAGAGGGGGTGGACCTTGGGCAGGACTTCAGTGAAGTGGTACAAGCTTCAATAAACTATTTCAGCGGAATCCAGTGTGCATCCAACTTTTCTTCTGTTTGTACCAGTTATTTGAGGGCTTGAAAGTTTGGTTGAGAGCTAAAATAAGTACACTGGCAACCTTGACAGCTGACATGCTTTGAAAATAGCTGTTTTGGAGACAGTTAAATTGGTGAGTCTAGTTCTGATTTAACAGCAGCAGAGAAAAGTTAGGTCTTCAGGCTGGCTGTGTTGTCTATCACAGTTGGGTAAATTTTAGGACTGAATGTACACAAATATACATTCTTTGGCAGGGAAGACATTTCCCATGTATGCATTTCAGCTGTGTGTTTAGCTGTTTGCCTGGAGATCAGATTTAAAGTACTAATTGGCCAACGTCAGCTTTTTGCCACGAAGCTACCTATAGCCCTCGTCCAACCTCTGGCTAGCGGATTGAAAACTAATCTTACATTTTGTCTTTCATAGACTGTAAACAATAATAACTCAGGTGTGTATAGATTAGAAGCCGTAGGATTGGGGTACCCGCAGTGATGTCACAAGGGGGGTGCTGTGGTGCGACCCTCATTGGGTGACACCACAGTGCCTGAAAAATCAGACACTGTGTCAAGTGCATGTACGGTAACGTCCCAGCGGGGTGTCACCTTGCAGGCAGCTCCGGGTGACATAACGCCTGGGGACGCCCCTGGGTACTCGGAGCTTCTCTTGCTCACAGACTATAGAGTCCTATGTGATTCTGTGGCAGAAGATCTGCACTGTATAGAACAATAATTACTGAATGCTGACAAGAGGTGTGACTGGCATAGTAAATGGCAGATGATGGTGAAATTGTATTTATCAGTCTTTGACAAATTTACCATTGTTTAAAATTGACATATTACTTATAGTAGTATTACATTCTTACTGCAGGAGCAAGGTTCTGGGGTGTGAGTGTGCAGACACGTACAACCTGGCACTATTATTATTATTATACAGGATTTATATAGTGCCAACAGTTTGCGCAGCGCTTTACAATATAAGGAAGATACTACACTACACTGGCACTACATTTTTAGTGGTGGTTATTATTTTTTGGGTATTGATGACTCTGGTCTAGCTTACCAATCTCTTTGGCCTGTTTAATGAAAGAAATCCAGCCAACAGAAAGCAGGATATTGTTGAAAATGAGGGGCAGTTGAAATCATACCATATAACCAAGTAATAAAACCAAAAGAAATAGTCCACACTGACTCTAAAATCACATTTTCAGCCACTCACAACAAAGAGATGATATATCCAAATGTGGCACTTATAAAAAGTTCAATATTGAGATGAATTAGAAAACCAGTAACAACAGTTTGTAACAATGTAACCTCCTCCATGGTGCCATGAAATCAAATAACTGCACTCCATTGGCTGTAATATCGTGACCATGTTGATGAGCCCTGGCCCTGGGGATGTGGGGGTCTGCAGACTTATCAGAATCTGGATGCCACATTCTTTCAGATAAGGAGGCTCCTAGGTAGCCCCCCCCCCCATGTGAATGAGTAAGAGGTACACAGAAAATAAACACACACCATGACTAAGTCCCTTATTAAAAATAAGTAAATAAACATTTCCCCCCTTGTAAATCCAACATCAACAACATTGTCTAGTGATGTATCCAATGTCAATCACAATGTATGACACTTAATGACCCACTGGACACGAAGATCCACACAGCCATGATCCGCTCCCACCAATACTCCCGTTACATATAACAGTTCTCCGTCCAGCTGCTGAATGTCAAGACTGACTGGGTATCCCTGGTGATGTTATTGACCAAATATGGCCATAACCATAATGGATCAATGACGACATTCAGGATGCCCAGCCATCTTATTGATATTCAGTAGTAATTCATATGGTCATGCCGATATTCGGTCAATGACGTGACCTGGGATACCCGCTGACTTGTTTACTATGTCATTCATTTAGTGGTGATGGGAATGCCGCAACTAAATTAATGCCTATTGGCTGCAGCAGCTGGCCATGTAGTCCACCCTTTTGGCGAACCAAGAGCTGCTAGAGTTGAAGTTGAACTCACCGTCAACTCGAAGCTTATCCTTAGTGTAAACAGGACAAAGATGAAATGAGAAATTGTCGCAATTAGAGCAATAGTATACATAAACTGGAGTACCCACGTTGTTATCTTGAAGAGGCATGCTTTTTATTTTCAGAGTTTAATAAATAAGTATTTTCTTTTTGATATGTGATTGTTTATACAGGTTTCATGGACACCCTGAAAACTCTGCTATATGATGAAGACTGTACTGTCAGACAAAAGACAACTGAAGTCTTCCACATCATGGCTGGTCATAACATTGGAAGGTTAGTGACCTTTGTGTGATGTTATATCTTGATATAATAAGAAATAACGTGTCATGTTTATCAATGATATTGTTTATCATTAAAGGAATGTTTATCATATATATCTTGGTGTATACGATATATACTGTTTATGATATATATAGGTGTATGTATACCTTCCATGCTGTTTATAGATATAAAATATTAGCACTTGGGCTTGATCTTGTGCAGCTATGCAAGTGCATACTTACTTTCCAAACTTACAAATGGTGGTGTGGGACCACACTTATCTTTATTAAACAGTTGAAATTAGATTAGATTAGATTAGATTAGAATGGTCAGTATTTGGCTTGTAGAAGCAAGATCATTGACATTATTTTATAATATTATTTTTTATGACTAGAAAATGTGTACCAGTTCATGAACAGAATAGCTTAGGGCAGGGGCAGACAAACATGGCACTCCAGCTGTGGTAAAACTAAAATCCCATTATGCATCTGCCTCCGGGAGTCATGCCTGTGGCTGTCAGAGTCCTGCAATGCCTGATGGGACTTGTGGTTCCTTAACTGCTGGAGTGCTGCGGTTGCCTACCCCAGGTAGGTCCCTCTATAACCCTATTAAAGCTATTCAGGACAACTTCCTGTGACAAATATCCACCTTAGAGTCTATGTACACCAGGACAGTCCATTGTAGTGCATTTTTCATGGCAATGGGTGCTGCAGTAAGGCAACCTGTTAATTTGAATTGGCCAAAAATCCGATCAGCTAGCGCAGCGCACCTTAAAGCACAATAGTGTGTTACTGTGTATTGTGGTGTGCTGCAACGCTGGGGTGCCTTTCACAATGAATGGTACCAAGCACACCAACACGTATAATGAGCGTTACCGCAGCACAGTGGTGTATAACTCATCAATGATGCATCATTTTTTATATAGTTGTACATCTTTGGAAACATTTTCTTTTAACTTGCCTCTTGCTGGTTTCTTTTGATTTCATTCCATCTTCAGTCATAACCAGAAATGTTCTGTTGAATTGCTGTGTTTTTTTTTGCATGTTAAAGAAATATAAGATTGAGTAGGCAAACAATGTTTACTGTACCACATATGCTACAACATCCATTGAAAATGTCATTACCTCACTAATTGCTTCCTTTCCAATCTGATCAGGTCATGCGCTTACATGGGGCTGTTCCTCATAGATACAATTGGTTTGAAGTGTGTGTGGTCACTTTTACTCATATACAATTCTCTAAAAAAACATGTTTTATATGAATACAATGTTTAAAGAAGCAAAAGCTGACGGTTGGGAGAAGAGTGCTGATGGTGATGGGGGCAGAGTGGTGAGACCTGTTGTTGAAGTTAGAGGGTAGAATTTGATGATGGAGCAGGGAATGGCAGTGTGGAGAACAGGACCCAGAGTGTTAGGGGACATGAGAGTAAATCACTAGGGTAATGGAAACTAATGGCAGCAAGAACAGAATCCTATGGTGATGACAATGAACTGGAGGTAATAGTGAAGAAAGCAGGCAGAGTAAGCATGAGGATCTCATTTAAGGTGACAAAGGCCGGGCATTGGGAGAGGATCAATTGAAGGGGAACAAATTGGAGATTTTAATAGGAGCATGTAGTGGTGGGACAGAGGCATGCAAATCAGAGGGGTGCAGTACATAGGACCAGATCATGGACGTGAGGGGGAACAGTTAGAAAGCAGTCTGTGGGAGCAGAATATCGCCAGGAGCGGGGAGAGAGGGGCAACAAGAGCAAATTGTTAATGTAAGCGGTAAGCGTGAATACAGATAAACAGTGGGTAGAGAGGCTGGGTGTACAAAGTCATATATAAACTGCTGTTCTTCCCTCAAAAACAAAACCCTTTCTCAGCTAGTGTACATTTAAAATGTAGTTTTCTGCACCAACCAGCCCATATTGAAAAACAAGGAGCTTGGCCTAGAGAGGGAAAAAGCAGGGAATCGGGCTAACAGGATGCCAGCATATTATTGCTTCAATAATATGCTGGCTATGGGGTGGAAGGGGGCCCCAATCGTTTGTTGAGGCAAATTAAATATAAAACATGTGAAAATAACACAGAACTGTATAACTAAGCGCTGGAGTGGTTGGAGTTGACGACAAAGCTAATCCCCTATAAAGTCTACAGTGTAGAGACAATTTCAGATGTACAAGAGGAGTCTTTGGGATCTTGGCATTGGTAATCACAGCTCAGAGAAAGGTCATCAGGAGGGCCCCTATTACATTTTTGCTATGGGGCCCCATGATCAGTAGTTACGGCCCTGAAGGTGAGGCAACGTTTATTTAAGACTCTGGCTCTACTAATCCATGTCATAGAAAAACTGCACAATGGTTTTGAATTCAGTTTCTGAAGACCCGTCATTCTAGTGACTGAGCCTCCAGCAGCCAAATGTACTAACATTCTTGGTCAGAAGATCGGAAGCTTTAAATAATATCTCAACTAATTACAAAAATATATCTTGTTTGTGTATCACTCAGCTGTAGATCCTCAAATCATCTTTGAATTGGTGCTGACACTGTCCTTCCTTCTGGAGGGTGGCTACTTTTGTTCCCCAGGGTCCCTGTGTGTGTTATGAAGCAGCCAATGCTCCAGAAGGAAGGACAGTGTCGGCACCAATTCAGAGATGATTTCAGGATCTACAGCCGAGTGATACACAAATAAGAGACATTTCTGTTAATAGCTAGTTAGGGTACGTGAATGCATTTTTAAGGTTTAACTCCTGAGTTTAGTGTAACATTAAACTAAAAAAATCACCTAAGGCGGAATTACCACAGAACAGGGTAACAAGAGGGAGTGGACAGTCAGAAGATGAGGGTCAAATCAAATGGAGCCACAGTGGAAAAGTGTGCAGGATTGAGGATGACAGCAGAAGGCAAGAGAAGGAGTTCATAGGAGGAGGACCTAAAGTCAGAAACTGACTTTAATGGAGAATTATGAGGCGAGTGATTTTCACTCAGCCTCATAATCTGAGCCGACCTGTGACAAGGAAACTGTCACAGGTCGGCTCAGTAGATTGGGAAGTGAGCGAACACATACTGGCGCTCGCTCACTTCTTGATCTAACCCTGCAGCGATTCCCCCCCTCCCTAGGGTTGCCACCTTTTCTTCAACGAAACCCGAACACTCAGGCGACGCGCAGACATTTTTTGGGGAGAATAAGTCGTAGCTTATTCATATGTAAATAGCGCCGCCCATTCATATGTAAATATCACAGTTGAGACTGTTTTCAGTGGGGGGCCAGTAGCCCCTACCTTAATTTTGGTTTCCCCTGTCTGCCTGACATCTTGTGTCCGGGTTTCTGATGCCATGAAACCCGAACACAGCATTCAAAACCTGGACTGTCCGGGTGAATCCTGGACAGGTGGCAACCCTACCCCTCCCCTGTCCGATCCTCCAGCGCTGACTGGCGGAGGGACGGGGGAGGGGGCGGGTACAGCTGGCTATGCCTCTAGATAGGCAGAGCCAGCTGTCACTCACGCAGCTTGGTGGATCCAGACAGAACTGTCGGGATCCGCCCCGGCTGCGGCGTCTCAGTATACCACGAGCTGTAGCTCGCGGTATACTGAGCTTTGGGTCACGGGAGGACGCTAGTTTGTGTCCTCCCGTTACCCTTAGGAGAACTATGGGGAAAAGCACTGACCCCATAGTTCTCCTTTAAAGCTAAACTCCAGGATAAACAAGAGGCATGTGTATTTAGATTGTCTAAATACAAAGGACAGGAAGTCCTCCTCTCTCTTACAGGGTACCAAAACTAATATAAATTGGTTGGTGTTAAAAACGCTTTTACTTTTTTCATTAAGCCCAATTTGCCTAAGCCTATCATACTGCAGGGTAATTGGCAAGTGCAGATTTTCTTGAATGGTTTAGAGAGATTGTCAGGTGGATAATGTGATAAAGCAATCTACACGCCTGTTGATAACTGGATCTGCCATAAGCCTCTTCCAAAGGTCCCCTAATATAGGTCAGTGTCACCATATATAAATCGTAGTGCCTTGTTGGTCTCATACTAAAAAATACAATTGGAAACAGCCGGGTACACAAACGTTTTTTTTTAGCCTTAGCAGCCTATCCATAGCAGCCGGGTTACAGAGAACACCAGAACCTGCCTTGGGGTTTCTTACCCATCTAATCCTCATCCCAGCCGCTCATCTTGTAACTGTTTTCTTTCCAATGATTGTCTGAATTCAGCATGACTGAGCTGGAATCCTTTGGACATTTGAACAACTTGACTGCCTTTTTGGGTATTCTCTGTTTCAGTACGGCGCACTCAAGGCAAAAGTGTGCTCCTTCCTGAGCTTTGAACTACTTTTGCTGAAGCTTCCATGGTGAGCCTGTTTGCTTCAATGTATTATTTCCTTTGGGAGTCTTCTGCACACAGTAGCAAGCAGAGAGAAAAAAAAGCATGGTGGTTAAGTGGTTAGCATGCCCACTTTTATGAGCACTGGGACCCCTGTTACCACTGGATACCATATACATGCAGTTTGTTAGTTCTTCTTGTGTTTGTGTGGGTTTCCTATAGGTGTTCCTGGTTCCTTTTACAACCCAAAATGTACTGCTGCTTAATAATCCTAGTTTGTGTGTTTATCTACATATAGGAGTATGGTAGGGTTATTAGCGTGGCAGCACCTTCGAGGCACGGAACTATGTGTTCTACAGAATGTGCACTTTATAGCATTGTGTAATATTTCAGCTACATAAATATGGGAAAAATTCAAGTGAAAGAGACTTCTCGGGAGCTTCAGAGTGACATAGCCAGAGAGCAGGGCTGTAGAGACAAAGAGACAATAACAAAAGACAAACCTATTCAGCACATTTGTAGGGTGAATTGTAGGCTGTTATGGTTATAAATCAAGTAGACGCACAGTATGAATATGAATTATCCAAGTTCTTTCTGCACCTCAGCATTTTTACAGACAGCTTGACCTCACAAATTGTGTTACATACTTACTTGATGCTAATCTATTTTCCTATTATACTTTGTCTTTTAATAACATGCGTTCTGTACTGGCACTGTAGCAGCAAATGCGTTGAGAAAAGCCTTCCGTGAGAGATGTATTTTCACCTCTCCAGGTATGCAAGGAAATTTTAGTATGGCTCCCATTCATAATAAACCATTTGTCCTTTACATGTTCCGCACCATTTATATGAGCACTGTAAGATTAATAATGCAAGGCAAGAGGGATTTCATGTTTTTCACAGTTTTATATTCCACTTTGCAGGGACGGTATCTTGAGAAGTGACGTTGTTATTGCACTCTCCCACCTTCTTAATGACCCTGTAGATGTAGTTCGGAGGAACATGCACCGAACATTCGAGATGCTCTCGGAGCTCCCAGCTGGTAAGTGTTTATGTATCTTCCTATTCTTAGAGAACTGGGGACATGAATAATAAAACATATTATAAAATACTATATGAATATAGACATTTATAATAAAAATGCTATACTATATAAAATACAAATATGAAGGGAAATGATCAAGTCACAAAGTATTGTGCTTCTCATTTCTGTCATTTCCTATTAGTATTTTAGGCCACGGCAGCATGAGGTAACTTCTTCCCATATACCAGTTTGCATTGGTCCCTGTACTTGAAATGTCTTTCTATTATTATACTTTATGAATACATTTGCACGGTGCCATTGTGTCTACACCCAGGTCAATGTAGCGCAATAGAGCTGATTTACAAAAAGTGGTGCAAAAGTGGCAACCAGGCAGGTTTCATCCTTTAAAGTGACACTAAACAAAGAGTTAAACCTTAAAAATGCCTTTATGTTCCTTAACTATTAACATAAATGTATCTTATTTGTGTATCACTCAGATGTAGATGCTCAAATCATCATCTCTGACTTCATACTGACACTGTCCTTCCTTCTGGAGGGGGGCTACTTTTGTTCCCCATGGTCCCTGCGTGTGGTGTAAAGTAGCCGCCATGCCAAGCTCACTCCTGTGATGGACTACAATCTCATGTTAGTTTACTAATTTGTATTGAAGTTATTGTCTATTAGGGGAGTGAGCTTGGAGTGGTGACTACTTTACAACACACACAGGGACCATGGGAAACATGGTAGCCACCCCCAGAAGGAAGGACAGCGTCAGTATGAAGTCAGAGATGATTTGAGGATCTACAGCCGAGTGACACACAAATTAGATAAAGTACATTGTTGTTAATAGTTAAAGTGACATTAAAGGCTAAAATGTTTTTAACCTTTCCCCCCCCCCCATGCTGGTGTAACTACTTACCTTAAATGATGGCTCTTGATATGATCATCTTCTTCTTTCCTGTAGTTTTCAGGAGTCCCTCCAGCACTGGTGACCGTCTCTGATCCAGCGATGACTCCTCTCTCTTCCTGTCACTTCCTGTCCCACGGAGTCTGTGCGGGTGCACGCTATCTCCATTGACTTACCTTGTGTCTCTGCTCGTCTCCTGGCCCGAAGATCTGAACTGCGCATGCACCCGCCCCATGATCCTTTGCGGCCGCCCGAGTATCTTCAGATCTTTGGACGGGAGCGCGCAGCGGAGACACGGGTAAGTTTAAACCCCTTTGTTAATTAATTAATTTTTTTCATGTTTTTGCAAGTATCTACACTTGCTAGCAGTAGATATACTGTATACAAAAACACGGGAGGCTTTAATGATCCTTTAAGGTACTTGAATGCATTTCTAAGATTGAACTCCTGTGTTTAGTGTCACTTTAAACTATGTAAGGAATCTGATTGCTATTGATAACAGTTCCAGTTTTCTTTTCTCCCCATTGTATAAATCAGATTCAAAAAAAGAATTTGTAGTTCTCACTGTAAACCGTTTCCCACCGCTGGTGACTAGTTGCTTATGGACTTTTGGTATTATTCAGACCAGCTGTGTGTTGTATTTTATTATGGTAAGGTAGCAAGGAATGTGTAACTCACAGGAGCTACCTGCAAACTGAAATCATGGCTATTACATGAAGCAAATGATTGAAAAGAAATGACTGGACCCCCCATGTTGACAGTGTTTGCCTTAGCTGGACCTTTTAGGTAGAAAAAAAACATATGCACCTGAAAGGCTGCTTTAGGCCTCACCCTTTTCCTTTCTTGATAACAGCGTCCTCCAATTTGTTCTTTGTAAACTTATTCTCCTTAGTTTTTGCAGTGTATGTTTTTGTGTATATACTAATACATAAGCTGCTATTATTGATCTCCTCCTGAAAATGTTAGTTGCCTGGCTGTCTTTCTCTTCAATGCCAATATTCAGGTCAGAGAAGTTGGAGAAAAGTCAACATTTTCAATCTGCTTGTTGTAGGTCAGTGACTCAGAAACTATTGAAGCCATTGGAGGAGCTTGAGAAGCAGGCAACTAGTTTTTCAAGTCAACAATCGGAGCTCATGTACTTCAGCACAGGAACCCGTCATGAGAGAAAAATGGAACCCAAGCTCTCCTACTGAAAATATTAGTCATGCTATGACTGACCAGGAACAAGTATACAGGCCAGGAGCTCCAACTTTGCTTTAAGGGACCATTCACACTATTACGTTGTGGTAATGTGTGCGGCAACACGTATGGTCATGTGATGAGGTGCCATTCATTCTAAATGGCACCCCAGCGCACCTTGCTGTCGATGTGCGTTGCAGCATAAAGTGTGCCAATGCACTAACATGTATTGCAGAGTGGTGCACTGGTGGAAATCGGTGCATTTGCATTTTTTGGTGCGTTTTGGTTTGTAAGGAAGCCCATTTTAATGAATGGGTGCCTTAACACAACACACATTAATGCGTGGTATAACATGCATTAACGTGTGTGTGCTAATGTGCCACAATGGTATGAATAGGCTCCGAGTTCCCTGATCTGTATACTTCATCTGGCCCTCAGAAAATATTAAGGGCAGAAGGTCAGCATAACAGATGATCAACTACAATTTGTATGAGGAGATTAGCAATAGCAGCATCCATGTTCCCTAAGATTGTTCACTTCTCCTGCCTTCTCCAAACTCTTCACCCTTTTGTGAATAGACCTGCTAGACTTTGCCTAGTCTAGCCGACATCTAGCTAGATTGCAAGGCATGGCAGTATAATCCCACGTGGTTTGTTCTAGGTCTTCCAGGAACCTCCTGGTACAGAGCCCTAGGAAACCTCCCCAGTGATAGAATAAATTGTCAAATTATACCACAACCTGTCCTTAAACCAAAAACAACATTATACTATAGTATCAGGTAGAGCTTGGCTTTGGGTGTAGTGGCAGAATAGTTCCACTAGGTGGCATGTTTGCCTGCTGACTTGCTTGGTTTATGGAGGCCTGATTGTTCAGAGGCATATGACTTGTATTAGTAATAATATTCTTTCTGTTTCTCTGCGGCGTGACTGACAGAAGAACCCCGGGACAAGTCCCAGACTTTTCCAGTAGAACATACAAGTCTTTTGTAAACAAGGTACTACAAATATACTCATGATGAGTCTCGTTATTACAATTATATAAGAAGGAGCTCACTGTGGAGTACTTACTCTCATGTCCAATGTGATAATATACTAAGAAGAGGAATTTCCTGACTAGATTCTATACTTAGTAATACTGACAAAGAGATATACTGCAACCTTGCCGCCATCACTATGTCAGAGTACAGACTCAGGATTTACATAATTTTTTTTTTAAGGAATGCACAACATAGATAGAAACTGCAGTATACCTACCAAACTTTTTATTATTGGCATTTACTGCACTATGTGCCAACTGTCACTGCAATTTACCTACCATCCTTCTTATTGGAGACATTCACCGCACTAATGCTTACCATTTTAAGTGACAACTGTCACTGCAATTTACCTACTATCCGTCTTATTGGAAACACTCACCGCACTAATGCTTACCATTTTAAGTGACAACTGTCACTGCAATTTACCTTCTATCCGTCTTATTGGAAACATTCACTGCACTATGCTTGCCATTTTAAGTGACAACTGTCACTGCAATTAACCTACTATCCGTCTTATTGGAAACATTTACCGCACAATTGTCACTGCAATTTGCTTACCATTCTTCTTTATAGGGACATTTACTGTAGCATGCTTACCATCATTCTAAAGAGCACCAGTCACTGCAGTAAACTTGTCATCTTACTTAAAGCTGAACTCCAGGATGGAAAGAAAGAGGGTGCACTGCATGGGTTAAATGCCCATTTTTGACATAGGAGTAGAGGAATAGGGTGTAATATCCTCCAGCAGGCTTCATCCATTTTACGCCATGAAGCCAAGGGACTACCCTCATCCCCCAACTTCAGGGAGAAGAGGGGGGCGCCACAGCCTGCTGGAGCTGTGGTTATAATGTAAGTAATACAGCCTTGTCATTTGCTTCCTAGAGTTAATGAGCATTTAACCTTTGTAGTATGGGGAGCCCCACTATAAGGGTTTTTTTCAACTCAGGGTTCAGCTTGAACAAAAAACATTCATTGCAAGATAACTTTTTTTTCTCAACTAAACTGGTCATAAGAGAAGTACAAAGGAGCCTGAGTGAGTAGGGCTGACTTGCTGTGTCTCTTGCAATAGGGGATAATGTGTGCTGTAGTATCGACGCATACATAAGCAGTAAGGGCTTGTTCACACGATTTTCTGGTCCAGATGTGGAGACGCGGTGCTGTGCATGCAGTGCGTTTTTGACGCGTTTTTGATGTGTTCCAGTTAAAAAAAAATAATGTATTTCTTTATTTTTTTGGTTAGAGTGGGGCTGTCAGTATGTTAGCTGCGTTTTTGGAGCGTTTTGTTGCATTTTTGACACATTTTCCGGACCGGACAAAATGTGACATGCAGTATTTTTTCTGTCCGGACTGGAACGGACTGCGCTGGTAAGAACTGTAGCACATAGGGAGACATTGGGATGCATTTTGGGTGCATGAGCGCACGGATCTGGTCGGACAGAATCCTGACGTCGTGTGAACAAGCCCTAAAGACTATGGAAAGGAGCTCAGACTAGTGTCCTATGTTGTGCACAGTGATGGGGACTGCAATTACATCTCATGGTTTCCTGTCTTCTACTGTTAAAAAATAAGGCTCACTCACGCTATGTGTAGAGACCTGCATTTCTCTGCACCTGAGCAACCCACATCTCTGCAAGGGCACATAAAAAACAATTGTTTTCTATGTTCCCTGTTCACAGCACAATGGGTGGAGAAGTCACCTTTAAAAAAAGGTATACTTGGTAAAAACGCAAGACCCCACCACCGGCACACACAGACATCAGCATACATGCTAAGATTGACCATTTTAGCGTGTGGACTGATGTGAATGCAGCCTTAGTCAAAGCTGTGTGTATGCATTCAGACGTGATGTCTGCTAATTGTCGATCACTGTTTACTGTGCGTTGTGTGCAGGCTTCA